TTCCAGATGCCAGTGCTGTCACTCTAGGGCCTAGGCTGGTTATGCAGGCTGAGCCACACCAGGTTTATAGGAGGCTGGAAACCCCTCAGCAGGCTGAGCAAACAGCTCTACATGGCTACTGTGCCCAAGTCACCCAGTGGTCTCCAGTAGCCAGCAGGCATCAGGGCCAGATTCTCAGGTGCCAAAACAGCTGCCCATAGAGAGGCCAGGTGGCCTGGGGTCCAGCAAGGGGAACTGAATGTCCATGTCACAACACCCACCCACCCACCGGAGCAGTTGGAGTGGTCAGTGTATGTCCTCGGCACCTACCTGGAGCAGGCCCGGGCTGGCATGCCTTCCTCCTCCTGGGTCTCCATGTCTCACCTGAAAGGTGCATATCAGACCTCCTCAGGTCAGGACTAAGGAAGAGAACGCAGCACAGCATGCAGCCTGGTGTCTGGCACGGCCTTGGGGAGCTGAAACTGTTAGAATTATTGCTCTGCCCCCCTATACCTGCCCCACACCTGCCTACTATGGAAAGGACATTGGGTCAAGAGGCAGCAAACATGGGCTCAAGTCTGGCTCTTACAAGCTAGAGATAGTTGGCCAGTCACTGCCGCTCTCTGAGCCCCCCACTCAAGGGCAAACTGCAGGGCCCAGTGCACCCATAAGACGTTTCTGGCAGAAAAAAGGGGAACCAGAGGTACCTCTGCAGGGGCTACTTCCAGAGGAGGTTGTACAGCCCTGGCATCCTGCACAGGCTGCAGTGACTGTGCAGCTCTTATCAAGAGCTAGGATCTAGGGACCAGGGATATAACTTAATGGTACAGCATCTGCCCAGCAAGTGAAAGGTCCTGAGTTTGATTTTTGATGCCAAATAAATAAATAAATAAATAAATAAATAAATAGCTGGGATCTGCCCTCCCATTGGACTTGCCTTGGCCAACAGAATGCAGCCCAGGTGATGGTATGGGGTATCTTAGCCCAGGCCTTCAGGACAGTTGGTCAAGTCCATCTTCACCAAGGTGGAGCTGAGACTGGAGGGGCCATGTGGAACGAGAAGCTGGCAATGGATATGATCAGATGCCACTTCAAATCACCAAGCCTGGTCAAGTCTCCCTAGTGGACATCACTCCAGAGAAGAGTGGCTGTTGTCTACAAGTTCTGCCCAAGTTGCACAACTGGTAATATAAATTAATGGTGGTGAATTTAAAACACTAAGTTTTGGGGTGGTTGTTATGCAGAAATAGTAACTAAGTCACTCCCCGCAGCTCTTACTCTGCCATCTTTACCTGATCTTGGGTTGGGCAAGGTGAGCTTCTGGCCACTGCTGACTGGACAAGGGAGTGGGCACCTGTCTTCAAGGTGCCATTCCATTGGCTGCAGAGGTGACCAATCAGATTTTTTTCCTCTGGAGCCTCTGAATGAAATGATTAGAGACTCTAGCAAGCCAGACTCTAAAGGAGGCTGGAGCTGGGAGTTTGGGATGGGAAATAGGGTTGCGGGTTAAATTGTAGGCTGTCATGTCATCATAGGACATCGAAATGGGGTGAGAAGCAGAAGGGCAGGAGGAAGACTGTGGAACCAGGTTCTGTGAGGCTCCAATAAATGGTTCAACTCCTGCTGGTTTGTGCTGTTCCTGAGCCTCCGACCCCATGAAGCCTGATTTAGGGCTCTAAAAGGCTCGAGGCCTCTCAGCCAGCTGGTGACAGAACTTCCAGGAATTGCTGAGCTGTTCTCTGATCCTGCTGCCTTGTTGCTGTGCCATCCCTTTCCTCACCCCATGACACACACAGATGTGGCCTTGTTCCCCATGGCCCTGAGGGCCGTCTTCTTCTTCTTCTTCTTCTTCTTCTTCTTCTTCTTCTTCTTCTTCTTCTTCTTCTTCTTCTTCTTCTTCTTCTTCTTCTTCTTCTTCTTCTT